GGTTACTTATTGTTTATCTATATTAAAATCTCACTAAATTTGAATCAGTACAAAAAGTCTCATATTTGGGAGTAAAACGCTCTCTAACTTAGATGCTTTCGTACCTAAGACTCGAACCGAGAAGTTATCTCTGATTAAGGATGATTACGCGTCGTTCTACCGGCTTTATATTATATAAATTATAATTAAGTAATAAATATAAAACATATGTCTATATTTGTTGATTTGGCATGAATATTGACTATTGAGTGTGTTAATTTGTTCACTTCTAAGCTGCATATCTATAAACACATCAAGTGAAATACGAAGTGAATTTTTTTCCTTTACCAAAAGGAATATACATCTTGATGTTAAAATACTCAATTAAAAGGAACAGTGTAGTTTTTAATTGTCAATTATATTTCATTTTATCTGATGAATAACTATTTTATTATTTCAAAAATTAAGAAATTAATGCCCGGATTTCAAAAATAGATGCCTTGACCCACATATTTCGAACTCATTATTATAGGATTCTTAAATGAGAACCTTAATCAAATACTCATTATTAGCCTATTTATTTATTTATATAATAAATTGTTTTATAGGATACCAGAAAAGGATCTTTTTTTAACCTAAGAATTTTTTATATATAATCATATGCTATCAAAGATTTCTTTATTTTGAGGACTCGAAATAATTCTCTAATTTGGAAGTGCCGAATAATTTTATTTATCTCGCCACATTTTACGGTAATATTTTAAAATTTTTATGATATGATGCGGAGAAAGGTGTAACAACTCTTGAGGAGCAGCGGAACAAAAAAAAACTCTCTTATGAAAATATTAAAAAAAATAAAAATAAAATAATAATAAGAGAGAGAGAGAATCTAATTTAAAATTTAAGTGAATTGGGAAAAGGTGCGGAGAACGAAGAAGTTTGTCAGTATAGTTTTGCTTTTTAAAGTGAACGTGCACTATTCCAACGCACATCACCAGTAATCAATCACACTCTCAGTCACAGCGCGTGACAGACGTAGCACAAAATTTTGACTAGATTTTTGGGGATATGAAATGGATAACGACAGTACTGTGTACAGATTTCGGGTTGCCCATTTAACCCGGAGTTTTATTGATAAAATGATATTGCTTCTCTCTCTCTCTCTCTTTTTTTTTAATTGTTAAAAGTATTCTTTTTGGGGAATGGTTTAAGTAAAGAAGAAGTGAAAAGGAGGGGTAAATGGTAACTAGTGCTAATTGAGATTGAGATTAACCAAGAAAATGGTACTAACATTTTTCTTTTCTTTTTGCCTTTTTAAGTTTTAACACTAATATTACTATCTATTTGTTTTTTAACTTTATAAACGGTACCATGATCCTATATTTGTGATAACACTTTTCTCTAAATTGAACTTCCTTTGAGTTTTCAACAATTATTGTTTACTTAATTGTTAAATTAAGCATTTGATTATTTAGTTTTGAGTAATGACCTGACTGCCAATCAAGATCGGATATAATTAATTTTTTGCAAAATTTATTTTAGTAAAACATACGATGTCGAAGTTGCGAAGCGAAGAACTCAACGGTCTAGGGTGGCCTCATTTCACCTTACCAAATCGTGGGAAACTTCAAATATATTAATAAGGGCAACTTGATACAACATCCTGTAATTATGCATGGTCTGAGGAAGCAAGGGGTGTGATGTAGACAACATATTCTAATTCAAACATTAGTGGCTGCTTGCATGGCTCGAATGCGTGACTTATAAGTCACACGGAGACAACTTTATCGTTGTTTCAAGATTCTCCTTCGAAATACACTATGATCCAAAAAGTTATGACCCGACCCGTTTTGGAAAAAGGCCTAAATGGTCTCCACTTGTGGAGTGTAATAAACAACAATTTATTACTACTAGTTGAATGTGAAGAGTAGGGGAGAGTGGTTGACAGGGAACATTTCCCTGTGAAGCAGATCTGAAATACTCAGCATTGTTTTGTCCATTTCTATATAAAAGAAAAGGAGAGAGGAGCCCCCACAAAATATAAGGGAAGATAAAGACGAGACTTTGTGAGATAAAGCTAATTTATTTACTCTCCCCTATACTGTGCTGCTCCAAACCAAAAGAAAATAAAAAATTGGGGTTCTTATTACCTGTGCTGCATCATCATCAAGGCAAATGACCTTGCTTTTGCTATTCCTCCCCCCCCCCCCTCCCCACCCAAAATTCAAACACAATAATTTAACCTTTTATGGAACCCAAATTGTCAGTTCGAAAGAATACTAAGTATGTTTTTGGGAAAAAAAGAATTGTTTTGAAAAAGTTAAAATATTTTTCTCATAAATGGGATATATAACTAAATAAGTTTTAGACTTTAGCCCGTACTTTAGGAGTGTCTTGGAGGAGTTCGAGTGGTAAAAGCAACCATTAATACTTGTATTAGGCAGATTATCTACATCGCACCATGGGGTGCAGCCCTGCTCCTAACCTTGCGTGAACGCGAAATCTGTTGTGCATTGAATTGCCTTAAAAGAATTTATATTTTAAAAAAAAATTATGTTGTAAAATTTAAATTTATTTTTCTCATACAGGATATATAAAGTAACTTTTAGACTTTAGTGACACGCTTTATACAAGACCTAAGTTTAAACTGATTAACCTTGATTGTTACACATGATATTTGAAGTCACTTAGTGTACAACCTTGAACTATGGCGGGACAAATTTTAGCGTTCAACTAAGTTTTAGATAAATCTCAAACATTTGAGGAGACAGTAAAGCAAACTTCGATAAGGACGTTGAATCGTTACGAAGGGAGAGTTTATATAAAAGCTTGAAAAAAATTCAAACAGGCAAAATATGAAAGAGATGTTGGGTAAAAAAACAAGCCTCAGACCTTGATGAAGTATTCTAAAACTCTACGTACTTAGATTCAGAATAAACGATATTAATAGTGAGCTGGATTGTTACTCTCCTTATAATAAGAGTGCCTCTCGCCTTTTAAAACACAACTATTAACTGTTTTTATTATTTCATTTTTATCTTAGACAAGTATCACAAATTTTACTAATAAGACCGATAATATATTTAAAAGTAATTATCGTTGGAATCGCCATTGAAAATCAAGTAGTACAAGATATACTTTAAAAAATGTAATAACATTCAAATTTTCCAAAAAATTAGAAACAATGCGCTATAATAGAACCATCACACTCTTTACTGCCAGATAAACCAATATTGGCATATAGTGAGTGTAAAAGAGAATAAAAAGGAAAAAAGAAAAACCAGTTGATGCCACAAAAAAGGAAAAAAATAAAGATTTTTATATACTATATTGGATCCAAATTTCAAAACTTTATCAAATTCTTAATTGGATATCTCCTGCTGCACTTCTTTTTTACCTTTTGAAAGTTGAATTAAACTCAAAAGCTATATATAAAAAATTCATATTTTATAACATTTTTAATCTATTAGAAAGATGACCTTTATCTCTTTTAGCCTACTACTTTTGATATTTTAAACTACTGTCGATTTTGGACTCGTGCATTATTATATTTGAAAATAACATTTAGAAATAGAGTTCAGTTTTTTTAAATTTTAAAATGTTTTCATTGCAAAATATGAAAGTAATTTAAAATTGAGTAAATTACAAGATATAGCAACAAACAAAATTATCAGACAGTTCACGTGTATTAAACACGATTAATGATTGACTCATTATCTAATCAGTTTGAAAAACAAGCATAACATTTTCAATTTTTCCAAGCTGTATGTGACGATTTGATGTTTCACATGTATTTTGCTCATTTTCTTTAGTTTATTTAACAATATTATCTATTTCAATGACAGTAAAACAACAACAATCCTAGCAAATGATGAATCAGATCATAACAATAATCCTATTTGTATCCAAAGGTGTGTTCTAAGCCTGTAACGGTTAATAAAACGAGTGAAAATTATAAAAAATAATTTTAATTTCTGCAAATATAATATAACGTTAGGTAATAATTTTGTTAGTTTCTTCAGCTTATCGAGGACATGACTTTCGATACGAGGATGTGGAGATCAAGAATCAGAGTAAATGTATAGTAGGTAGTCAAACATATTTTTTTTCTCATAACAGTAGTAACAACAACAACAATCCAGTGGGATCCCACAAGTGAGGTCTAGGGAGGGTAATGTGTACGCAGACCTTACCCCTACCCTGGAGGGCAAAGAAGTTATTTCCGAAAGACCCTCGACTCGAGAGGAAGAATAGAACAAGTAAATAACAACAAGGCCAGGAAAATGATATCAACAATGTAAGGACCGGTTTCTCATAACAGTAGTAGTAGTATTATTACCGTATTTCCTTATTCTTATAACTCTATTACTACCTGATGTTTTTCTTGTACTCCAGTTATCTTAATATCTTACTGTTGATATTGTTTTCTTTTTTGCTTCTCCACTACCGTATTTATTTTTCAAAATTGTTGTGATTTTGCTTTCTTTAAGCCGAGGGTCTATTGAAAAAACCTCTTTATTTTCACAAGGTAAAGATTATACTGAATATATTATTGTTGTCTGTATTTTATTAGTCAAAATTATTCGATACATGTACTAATAAAATAAAAGGTAACACTAGGTGCATACTAATTGAGTCCGGACACCACTATTTTTATAAAGAAGATTAACAATCTACTAGTTTTAATTTTTTTGTCTAACCAAATTAAAACAATTAAATTTGAGACAAAAAAAATGAGTCACTAATTTTCCTTGGAAGGTCAATTATATCCTTCTCAAGTGTCACGTTGAATAAGGCATATAATGATTGCACAAATATAACATCAAAACCCTATCATTACCTTTTATAACATGGTTTATATCTTGGCCACCTCTTCCTAATAATTCCCCAAAATAAAACCTTCCCCTAACCCCAAAAACTCACCCCCACCCCCACCCCACCCCCAAAAAAAAAAAACACACACACACACTATTCTAATAAATCCTCAAATGATAGTACACTACTACTCCTTTTTTCTCTCTCTTTATCAAAGGTTTTTAAAATCTTTTTACTCACTATTTAAAAGTCCACTATCCTCTATCATTGTCCTTTCTTTCTCTCTCTTGTTTCTCTTTCTAGAAAGGTTCCAACTTTAGGGAAAAACCAAAGGGGTTTGTAGTAGTAGTAGAAGTGATAGTCACACTAGTGAAGTAGTTTAGTAGTAGTGAATGTTTTTGCCATGGATGCATATGAAGCAACAAAGATAGTTTTATCAAGGATTCAAAGTTTGGATCCAGAAAATGCTTCAAAAATCATGGGTTATATTTTGATACAAGACCAAGGAGAAAAGGAGATGATAAGATTAGCTTTTGGTCCAGAAACCCATTTGGTTTCACTAATTAACCAAGCTAAAGCTTGTTTAGGACTTTCATCAAACACTTCATCTGCAACTTCAACTCCTAACTCTCCTTCACCTTTTAACCCCATGTCAAATGCTACAAAGTTGAACCCTTTTCCTCAATCTTCACCAAGAATCATGATTCCTAATAATGGGTTTGTTCATTCTTCACCTAATTCACCTTGGTCTAGTGGGTCACCTGTGTTTTCAAGAAGCCCTAGACCAATAATGGCTAGCTCTAGTTCACTATCTTATGCTGCTGTTGTCAATGGTTCAACTAATTCTGTTTCTGGGTCTTCAACTACTTCACTATCACTACCTTTTTACAATAATAACAATGAGCTTAATGATGAGTTTGGTAGTAATACTAGTGTTCAAGTTCAAGATCATCAAGTCTTGTCATTTCTTGACGAGTCATCATTGGATCCAATTATGAGTCCTAGTGGTAGAAGTGATTCACTTGTTTTCCCTTATGGGAATTGTGAGGAATCCCCTCATGCTCATCTTCATAGGAGGAGTTGTTCAGTGAATGATGTTTTTCTTGGTGGGGGTGGGGGGTTAGGTATGATAGGTGGGGGTGGGGGGTAGGTTT